TCCATTGTGAAGGTATTTGGATGTGAGGCCTTATTAGATTAGGTTTCCAGGGTGGAGCCCTCATGAATGGGATTATTGCCCTTATAAAAGAGGCCCCCTTGGCCCTTCTACAAAAAGACATCCATCTATGAACCAGGAAGGGGTTCACACCAGGAACTGAATCTGCCAGATTCATGATCTTGGACTTCCCAACTTCCAGAACTGTGAAAAGTAAATTTCTGTTGTTTATAAACCACCCAGTTTATGTTATTTTGTTATAGCAGCCCAAACAGACTAAGCCATCTATACTCATACATAAACCTTATACTCAAAGCAACTAGTTTTCATGTTTCCAGAACATCCACACTTATCCTCTGCACTTTTTTACTCACTTTATAATTTTAACAGTCCCAGCTAACAAATTTTGGACACCGATTATATGTCAATGAATGTGTATTGTTATTAAGATTTTACAACACTATGAGGTAGGTACAATTCTTATCCTCATTTTATACAAGGGAAATTAAGGTTCTAAGAGACTATAAACTTGTTCAAGAGGACAGAACTGGTTGTTGACCTGGGATTGAACCTAGTTTTAAAAGTAGTGTTTTCCCACTGTCTGGAACTTCCTTCCCTTCTCTGCCTCTTGAAATCCTGTTCAAGCTTCATAGCCCATCTCAGAAGACACTTTTTTCAAAAAACCTTTTTAAATTTCCAACCAGATGTCTTTTTTTCAGCCTCTGCATTGCTTTGAGGCACTCTTGTGGCAGATCAGAGATTCCGGGTAGAGAGAAATCATACCCTTAATTTTCTACCTAATATTACAATTATGTATTTCTTTGCCATATAAGTCTACCTGTTAGCCCCCTAAGTACTGGAGTTATATATTACTCATCTTTGTATCCTCCACAGTATATAGTGCAATGATACAGTAGACAATAAGTATTTGCTGACAGTGTTTAAATTATTTCAACAGCCTTCATTCCAGTCTATCTTGAAATCTCATCCTGTATATATTGCCAAATTGTACACCTAAGGCATATTACTATCATGCTGTTTCCTAGAAATGCTTTCTGTTGCATTCCCATAATCTGACGCATCCTTGATCACTGTACTCAATTTAGAACAAATTTTAACTTTCAACCTCTACTGTAATCACGCTGGTCTTATGGGACTTTGACATTGCGCTAACTCCCTTCCATCACAGATTAGGAAATATTTGAATAATGTAGGAAAGGGAAATGAAAGCAGAATAAGGAAGGCTGACGCCTTCTCCGGGTTTTGAAATCATCATCTGTTAGCTTCCTGCACCCTAAAAGTGAGCTGCTTCTATTCTCTCCAAGGAACTATCTTATTTAGTTTTAAAGAAAAGGGACTCTGAATTTTAGGATAATATTGGTGCTAGTTTAATTCTCTGTTAATTTACCCAAGTGGTTAACTTTGTACTGGGAATTTAATACAATTTAATTTTAATTGTGATGTGTCACAATGAGGGCCTTTGGGTTCATCTTGTTTTGGATTCTCTGACTTCCTGGACTTGTATGTAAATTTCCTTCACCAATTAGGGAAGTTTTCTGTCATTTTTTCAAATAGGTTTTCAGTTTCTTGCTTTTTCTCGTCTCCTCCCAGCATCCCCATAATGTGCATGTTGGCACACTTAAAGTTGCGCCAGAAGCTCCTTTTTTTTCTTTTTATTGTTCTGACTGGGTGCTTTTTGCTTCCTTATATTCCAAATTACTGATTTGATTCTCAGTTTCATCTACTCTACTGTGGATTCCCTATAAATTATTCTTCATTTCAGTTAGTCTATTCTTCATTTCTGACTGGTTCTTTTTTTATAATTTTCATGTCCATTTTTATGCTGTTGAAGTTCTCATTAAGTTCATTGAACATCCTTATAACCAGTGTTTTGAACTCTGCATCTAGTAGATTTCTTCTCTTCATTTTTTTTTAATCTTCACCCAAGGATATTTTTCCCATTGGTTTTTTTTTATAAGTAGTGGGAGAGAGGGAGGAGGGGGAGAGAGAGAGAAACATCGACGTGAGAGAGACACATCAATTAGTTGCCTCCTGCACGCACCCTACTGGAGCCGGAGATCGAACCTGCAAACAAGGTACATGCCCTCGATCAGGAATCAAACCCATGGCCCTTTGGTCTATAGGCCAACACTCTAACCACTGAACAAACTGGCCAGGATAACTAGTGTCCATTTTGTTTAATTATTTTTCTGGAACTTTTCCTGTTTTTCATTTGGGGCCTCTTTCTTTGTCTCCTGATTTTGGCAGTTTCCCTGTACTTGTTTCTATGTATCAGGTAGAGCTACTGTATCTCCCAGGCTTGATAGAGTAGGCTAATGCAGTAGGTGTCCTGTAGGATCCAGTGGCACAGCCTCCCCATTCACCCAAGCTGGGTACTCGCGGTGTGCCCTCCATGTGGGTGAAAAGCCCTGGACGCCTAGTAATAACAACTGTAGGGTAGGACTTTGCCCCAGGGTGACCATTCCTCCCCTAGCATATCACTAAAAATAAACACAACAACATATAGGAAGAGAGTCTATTTGTTGCCCACATGTCCATACAAAAGGAAATTCTAAAGAATGCTCTTTAGGCAGAAGGGGAAATATTCCAAATCAAAATAACAGAACTGCATAGATTTGCTGGGTGGGGAGTCTGATATCTCTCAAGTTTGTCTTTGGTCCTTTCAAAGCTCAGAAAAAATACATGCTAATTGCTAACCATGCTCTCTCCTGCCTACACATTTAAATATGCTATTCTTTGGGTCTGGAATGCCTTTTTTCTAACACCCCATCTGCAAACACATACTCAAGCTTCAGAAAAGTTCAGGAGTCATTTTTCTGTGAAGGATCCTTCTTTGAAAAGAAGTAGAGTATGTGCAGTATTCATCACATGTCAACTTTCCTCCACTTCCTTGCATCTTCATTTTGTTCTTTACACCACTGCCAGAGGAATATTGCTAAAATACAGATCTGATCATGTCTCTCTCCTGCTCAAAAATGCCTTCTAAATGCCTGTGTATCTGTAAAATAATGTATATACTTCCTGGGACATGGGAGGCATTCAAGGCCTTCCATGATTCTTCTCCAACCTATTTTTCTCACCTCAGCTCTATCATGTATGTCTTTGCATCCTATACTTGAGCCACCCCAGCCCTCACCATTCACACACACAATTCTCTCAGTGCCTTTGTTCACTGAGAACCTTTGGCCTGATATGCCTTCTCTCCTCCCACTCCACTCCCCATCTGTCTTCTCTGCCCATTCAGAACTTCCAAAGCTCTGTTCTCAATGAAACCTCATCTAAAGTCCCATTAAGAATGAATGACTCACCCTGACCGGTTTGGCTCAGTGGATAGAGCGTCGGCCTGGGGACTGAAGCGTCCCGGGTTCGGTTCCAGTTGGGGGCATGTACCTTGGTTGCAGGCACATCCCCAGTGGGGTGTGTGTGGGAGGCAGCTGATTGATGTTTCTCTCTCATTGATGTTTCTAACTCTCTATCCCTCTCCCTTCCTCTCTGTAAAAAATCAATAAAACATTAAAAAAAAAAGAAAAAAGAATGAATGACTTGGTTGAAACAGCCCCAGTGAAATTGAAACGGCCCCAGTGAGGCTGAAACGGCCCCAGTGAGGTTGAGACGGCCCCGGTGAGGCTGAGACAGCCCCGGTGAGGTTGAGACAACCCCTGTGAGGCCGGGATGGCCCCTGAGAGGCTGGGACGGCCCCAGTGAGGTTGAAACGACCCTGGTGAGGTTGAGACGGCCCCGGTGAGGTTGAGATGACCCCGGTGAGGTTGAGACGGCCCCTGTGAGGCTGGGACAGTCCCTGTGTGGCTGGGATGGACCCTGTGAGGTTGAAACGGCCCCTGCGAGGCTGTGACGGCCCCTGGGAAGCCGAGAAAAATACCACATGATCTCACTCATTTATGGATAATAAAGACCATTATAAACTGATGAACAAAAATAGATACAAAGGCAGAGCAGCATTGAACGGACTATCAAACTACAGTGGGAAACCTGGGGAGGGTTGGGGGGGATAAGAGATCAACCAAAGGACTTGTATGCATGCATATAAGAATAACCAATGGACACAAGACACTGGGGGGTAGGGAAGGCCGGGGGAATGTCAAGGGGGGGAAAAAAGGAGACATGTGTAATACTCTTTGTAATACTTTAGGAAATAAAACACAATTAAATTTAAAAAAATGAATGACTCATTTCTAAACTTGCATAATTAGTATTTATTTCATTATGGTTGTTATTATTAGTTGTTTGTATGTCTGTCACTAGTCTATACTATTCTTAAAGTCCGGGCTGTGTCTTACTAATATATTTCATCATCATGCCTTTAAAATACACTGCATAACACATGGTAATAAATATTTACATATAAAAATAAATGATTTTGCATAGAATAAAATTAAATACTGCCTGACATATGGTTAGCATTTTCTTTGAATTCTTTCTAGTGGTAAGAATGAGGATTTTGTGAAAAATGGTAAAACCAGTTAGGCAGATTTATTACTAGCCTGCTAAATTCTTTTAGAATTAACACTGCTTGGAAACTATTATAAAGAGTTTCCATTAAAAAAAAAATTTCCAATAGAGTGATGAAGGCCTGGATGGAGGGTGGAGGGGGTCAATGGAAAAAAAACATAAACTAACAAAGGGGACAATTGTAATACTTTCAACAATAAAGAAAAAAATAAAAATAAGTAAAAATTTTTTTTTAGTTTCAATTTCCTCTCTTGGTGACAGCATAAGTTTCAGTTCTAGAACTTCAGAGGGCCCTAAGATATTTTTCAAGGCCCAAGTATTATGTGCCCCTAAATCTGGTTCCCCTAAAATGGAATTAAATATTGAAATCTCATTATATCCATTTAATTCCTGAAATTTAGTACAGTTCTTAGTACAGAGCACTTAATAGAAGTTGGCTAAAGGAATGAACAAATAAATGAATTAAGATGAATTATTTATATTATGATCTCTCCAAACAAACTATGAGCACATCAAGTATAAGAATATGTTTTATTCACCTTTTTGTCTCCAGCACCTAGGACAGTATCCAACACAAAATGAGTTGCTACCAAATAGCTATTTATTAAGTTATAGACAAGATAAATACTAGGTTTACTTAAAAAATGCAAAGAAGGAAAAAGAAAACACATTTCTTGTATCATGTTAACTTGTACCAAAAACTGATAAATAGATTTATGAACTGGAGTGCATAATAATTGGGGGGAAATTCCTACTGTGGTCACAGTGAAAAATAAAGGCTTTGGGTGGAGAGAAGGAAAGTAATAGGAGTGTTGCCTGACGCACAAACAAATGAGGAGACTGAATGGACAATCTCTGTATTACTGCATCTGCTTCAAGAAAGGCATACCACTCCCTTCCAAAGTACATCACTTCATTGCACCATCATGGAAGGAATGGACGAGCAGGATAGGGTTGGCTGGCTGAAGTCACATCTTGGGGAAGCTGGCCAGGTTGGCAATGCCACAGGCATTGTTCTTATTCCGAGCCATGAGGATATAGCCTTTGTTTCCCCAGTTCTCTCCCCAGCTGTAGGACCAATCAAGAAAAATACTTAGTACCCTCACTTACACATTAAAACATTAAGTATTGTGCTAGGAACTAATGGCATACAAAATAAATAAGACAGTTTTTACCTTTAAAAAGTTTAAAGTCAAGAAATGGAAGGCCTAATACTATAGGTCTCAAAGGTAGGAGAGATTGCTTCGAATCAAGAGGAACAAAAAGACTTAATGTAAGAGGTAGCATTTGAGCTGAGCCCAAAGGCTGGATAGAGTTGGGGCCTGTGGAAATGGGATGCCAGTGGAGGAGTGTTAAATGAGTAACAGAGGCAGGAAAGCATGGGACATGTGTTACAGTCTTATGACTGAAAAGTAGGGTGCTTGACAGGGGAGAAGTATGTCTGGTAAGGTAGTTCGAGATGAAGTTGAGTTATTTTTACTTCCAGGCTAAAGACTTGGACTCTGTGGTCCATCACAGTGGAGGAGACACTGAAAGTTTCTGATTGGGAGAGTAATGTAATCTGATTTGTGCTTTAGGAAGAGTAATCTTGAAAACATGAGTCTAGAGCAGCCGTGGGCAAACTACGGCCCGCGGGCCAGATCTGGCCTGTTTGAAATGAATAAAACTAAAAAAAAAAAAAAGATCGTACCCTTTTATGTAATGATGTTTACTTTGAATTTATATTAGTTCACACAAACACTCCATCCATGCTTTTGTTCCGGCCCTCCAGTCCAGTTTAAGAACCCATTGTGGCCCTCGAGTCAAAAAGTTTGCCCACCCCTGGTCTAGAGCATAAGAAAGAAGGGAGAGGCTGAAGTTGGTGATTTGAGTTTGGGAATAAAAACCATAGGAGAAATGAATGAAGCTATGAGAATGGATGAGGTTGCTAAGGAAATAAGTGGAGAGAATGGAAGACTGGAGGGAGGGGAGGAGAGAGGGAGAGTGATTGACTGACAAATGTAGTGTTCCCATCATTACCTGTTTTTAATTATCCAGTGCTTTTTTCCCTTCTGGATCCCATATCCCACTGCCAAAACCGCATGGTTCAGATTATCGCTATTGCAGTTTTCATCGTAATACACACCTAGGAAACAATCAATCAAAGTAAAGCTTTCTGTAATCCCAGGGGCACCCTGTGGGGTCTCCCACTCTCGGTGACCTTTGTAGAATCCATCCCAGTCAGAAGGGCTTACATCAGAGATGCTCTGTGCCAAGGCAGCTGGTAGTTTCTCTCTGGCAGACTCAGTGTGAATATGGAAACGAAGTACTAAAAATGCTGAGTGCCCTTTGAGAAGCTGCCAAGCCCACATCATAAGTTGACTGTGTTCCATAGGAGCAGCTCCTTACCTTTGCTATAAAACTGAAAGGAGCTCAGGCTTGCATCAATGGCCACTGAGATGGGTCCCACTCGGGCCACTGCTTTCTTCAGGGCTTTCTCGTTCCCCTCAGGGATCTCTTTGTACCCTCTGCACTTAGCTGCCTTGCCTGTTGGATTGTACATACAACTTTCATCCTGCGGGGGAATAAAAGAAAATGGTTGAAAAAGGACTAGGACAAAGCAACAGGCGATGAATTGGTGAGTGAGAAACTCTACCAACGTTTAAATGATGTTAGTGAATTAACAGGGTCAGTGACTGGTCTTTAGAGAGGTCTGTTCTCTCCGCCATTTTAGAGCACTGTGAAAAAGTGAACACCTTGCACCATATACAAAAATCAGCTTCAGGTAGTTTTAAAATATAAATATGAAAGCAAACACTGTAAAACCTAAAAAACAGATAAAGAAAGAATTTTTTATTACCTCAGTGTAAAGATTTCTGAAATAACATTTTTCAAAAAGCACGTATCATCTTCTGGCCCTATAATATGTGTGAGCTTGGGGGGGGGGCTGCCATTATTATTAATATTTAGATTTTTTTGAGCATTTTATTGCAGCAGACATCATTTCAGATGACTAAACATGAACGAATAAACTCATTGTTATTGAATTTTTAAAGGAATAAACTACAAAGGAAAACATTAATAATTTTACTACACTAAAATTAAGAGTGAAAAGACAAAAATCAACCTACAATACACATAATATTAGTATCCAAATATATTTTTTAAATCCCTAAAAATCAGTAAGAAAGAGAAAAATAACCGAATTAAAATGGGCAAAAGATATAAACATTCAATGCACTGAAGAAATGCAGATGGCCACATAAACACACCGATGAAGATGTGAGACGTTCCGTCAAGATGGCGGAGTCAGTAGACACTGTGCTCACCTCTTCCCACGACCACATCAAAATTCCAACTAAGTTATAGAACAACCACCCTTGAGAATCACCTGAAGACTAGATAAACAGAACTCCTGTAACTAAGGATATAGAGAAGCCACATCAAGACTGAATGTTAACTGTAATTGAAAAGTAAGTTTTTTAAAAAGATGTAAATCAATGGGATTTCTTATACACTGAATGTGGGAATATAAATTTTTCCAAATACTTTGGTAAAAATATTTGATATGATCTATCTAGCAAAGTTGAAGATGTAAATAACTTAAGACTTAGTTCTTGCATTTATGCGTAGAAGACGTGTCTGGCAATGTTTGCAGCAGATAAACAGATCTGGTAGATAAATGTCGGCTCTGCTACAAAACTAGTGGTATGAATTTGAATATGCTGTTTTACCTCGTGCCAGTTTCCTCTTACAAAGTGAGGATACATCTACCTTATAGGGCTGTTGAGATTAAATGAGAAAATGCACCAAGCACATGGCTTAGCACATAGTAGCCATCACTGTCATTACTAAAACTGGTTATCCCTTCTTCAAAGACTCCTGTTGCAAAGACCCCATATTATATTATCAACCCCATGTCTATAAAAAGCCCTCAGAATTTCTTCATTTTAGATAAGAAAGATCTGCTTCCTATTGCTAAAGGGTCTTATAGGAGGAAGTGAGTTGACCTCTAAAATTACAACAAATATGAAGCAACTTGTTTTTCTTTCATTTTATACATGGTAACTTACACAACTTGCTTAAGTGTTCCCAGAACCCACACTGAGATCATACAAAATAAAGCCACATGATTTGTGAAATTAGATTTGTGATGAAAGTGGGAGTTGAACAGAGGGTTATAGAGACCTTCTCAGAGATCTATGGAATAGCCTATCCCCCGTTTCCCCCCACTCCCCCAGGGCACAGAGGCAGATGGGATCTATGGTAGCCTAAACTCCCCAAATTCTCCCAGAATGTGGGAATCTTCTTGGCCTCAGTGGACAATTTTCCCAGTAAGAAAGCAGAATAAGGTAACAGAACAGAAAACAAGATTTCTGGAATTGTTTCTAGTACAAAATATCATGCTGGGGCAGGAGGATCCATTACAGAGCTGGGTGGGACCGTCTCACCTGTCCCACATACGGGTAGGCATCTTCGGAGTCAATGCCCCGGTTCCTTTGCACATACTGGAAGGCATTGGTCATGTAGCCCCCTCCGCAGCCATCATTCTCAGACACACAATCCACCAGGTTTTGGGGACTCAGATTTAAGAGTTTACCAGTTTTCTTCATGAGTTGACCCTCCAGGGCACCCACAGAGCTAAAAGCCCAACAGGAACCACATTGACCCTGAGAGGCATAACAGAGAAACTATCAGTCATTGTTACTCACGTTTTTTGTTTTTTTCACCTCTACTTGCCTGATGAAATTCCACAGATTTTATAAATTCCAGTATACATGTCTCCTTTGCTGTGAAAGCTTCCTATTTCCCTTCATTTAACATTTGTTGCATTGTTCTATTGCTGTTATTGCTATTGATAACTTTTGTTACTATTGTTCCGTTAGCTGTAGTATAGCAGAGTACTGACTTTGTAACCCCTTAGATATGGGACCTTGAGTAAGTTATTAACCTCTTTTTGCCTCAGTTTCCTTATCTGTAAAATGTGGATAATAAAAGTGCTAGCTATCATTAGTGTTTCTTAAGATAGGTGCTAATTTTTTCTATTTTTTATTTTTATTATTATTTTTTGGTCCTTACCTAAGGATATGTTTTTCATTGATTCTAGAGAGAGAAGAAGGGAGAGGAGAGAGAGGGAGAGAAACATCGATGTGAGAAATATCCATTGGTTGCCTCCCGTACGCCTCAATAGAGGATCAAGCCTGCATGCAACCTGGGCATGTGCCCTGACTGGTAATCAAACCTGTGAGCTTTCAGTGCATGGGACATTACTCCAACCAACTGAGCCACACTGGTCAGGGTTTTCTTTCTATTTTTTAAGATGGAGGATTTCTTGGGGACACAAGTGTGTCTTAGTCATCTTGAATCTCTACTGCCTAGCACATACTGGTAAGTTCTGGAAAAAAAATGTATTTGTTGAATGAATGTTAAATCAGTTGTTCATCTAGTTGACACATACAATTAACATTGTTAAGGTTGTGGGAAAACTGGCATTCTCCTGCTGATAAGAATGTAAGATAGTAAAACCTTTTTGGAAAGGATCTATTCATTTTAATTTGAGCATTTATTTTGCATATTTGTATATGGATACGAAAATATATGCACAAGGTGCTTACACTATTTGTAAAAAGGAAAACGCAGAAACAACCTAAAGCCCTGGCCAGTGTTTCTCAATGATTAGAGCGTTGGCCTGCACACCAAAGGGTTGAGGGTTCGATTCCTGGTCAAGGGCATGTATCTAGGTTGCAGGTTTGATCCTCTGCCTGGGTTGGGGCATTGTGAGGGAGGTAACCAATTGATGTCTCTCTCACATCATTTTCTCTCTTTCTCTCTTTCCTCCTCTCTTCCCCCCTTCTACTCTCTCTAAAAATCAATGGAAAAAATATTCTCAGGTGAGGATTAACAAAAAAAACCTAAATGTTCAAAAATAGATGAGTTGCCGAAACCGGTTTGGCTCAGTGGATAGAGCGTCAGCCTGCAGACTGAAAGGTCCCAGGTTCGATTCCGGTCAAGGGCATGTACCTGGGTTTCGGGCACATCCCCAGTAGGAGATGTGCAGGAGGCAGCTGATCGATGTTTCTCTCTCATCGATGTTTCTAACTCTCTATCTCTCTCCCTTCCTCTCTGTAAAAAATCAATAAAATATATAAAAAAAATAGATGAGTTAAATGATGGAATAGGCTATTAGCATGAGGAGAGGTAACCTTAATTCCTCACCCCCTTCCTAATGACCTCGTATCTTAAGAACAAAGAAACAGAAAAAGGAAGAGGTCATGCCAGCTTACATACCCATCCCCAGGAGACAGGAGGGTACCTGATTTTTGACAGGAGTAACATATCCCTTCTTTCGATAATCAATGGAGTCTGGGGCTTTGCCTTCCCAGTCTGGGATATAGAGGGTGTCGTTACTGCGAGAATGGGATGGAGGTACTCTGAGTCCAGTCATCTTTTGAACCACCTCTTCACTGGTCTGGGACAAAGAAGAGAGAGGCCAGGCATAATCAGGAAACTAAGGCAAACAGGACAGGTAGGACAAGAGCTGAGGTTCACTCACCATGTCCCCCAAGTGGTTCATTGCCAGTTCATATGTATGGACACCAAGAGAGGCCTCAAGATTATGGATGGAAATATGCTTCAGGTTTTTTTCCCAAATTAAACGCCGGGAGATTTCATCCACCTAAATAGAGCATCGTCAGTACTGGCATAGACTGGGTTCTGTGTGCAAAGTTACATATGTAATATTATGGAGGTATTTAGGAGAAAAGATAAAACTTACAATAATAGAGAGTATACAATCTACTTTGGGAAATGATCATGGGATTATTAAGAACATGCAAGAAGAAATATACAAGCATATTCAAATAATAGAATGCAAAGATCTGGAGAGATGTACAGAAAACTTGCTTATGGATTAATAGCATTAATTTGAGAAGTCTTCCCAAAAGAAAAATATTAAGAAAAGTAGGGATAGGATGTGATGGTGACTTGAGGAGTAGGAATAAAAACTATATGTTAACAGCTGGGGAACAAGGGCAGGTTTGCTTGGTTGGAGTGGTTCAAGTGTTTGGATAGAAGGAGTCTGGAACCTAGGACTGGAAGTCTCACTTAGCCCTCCCACCATGCTCCCCTCCGGGTCCCCAGGCACCTTGCTGTTATACTGCTTCTGGTAGGTCTTCTTCCATAGCTCCCACTGGGTGTCCAGTATCTCCTCAGGGTATAGAGCAAAGCTCACCACGGGCAGCAGCAACATTAGAACCTTGAGCTCCCACATCCTGAGGAATGGGATAATTAGGGGCAACTCTTCTGTTCGCCAAGAAAGTCCTAGCCTGGCTCAGGAGGAAATACTCGGAGCCATCTTCCCAGACAGGTGGTTCTCAACCTTTGGCAGTCATAGACTCTTTTGAGAAGCTAATAAAAATTTGCAAGCCACTATATAATCCCTCGCACCAGAAAAAATGCATGCACACACAATAATTCTGGGGAGTTCATGAGCCTAAAGTGAAGAACCTCTTCCTATCGACTATGAGGCAAAGGAAAATTGGGCTTCATGAAGAAGATAGAAAAACAACTGAAGGTGATTTCCATATGATAAACCTGATTGTCAGGAGGAGTCTGGGTTTGGATGGGGTGCAGATACTTCTGGTGCTAAGTATTTTGACCTAGGGAGATTCCATACACACACAACTTGCACTGACAACCCGAAACAGGGTAGAAAATGGACAATCATCATGGGCTCAGCACCTGTCTCCTCCCATATCCCTAGGAGATTAAAAAAGATGGACAAGGTTACGTAGATAAGTGCAGGGCAGATGATGGTGGTTGGATAATACGCAAAAGGGAAGACTGCCCGCCACATTTTGCTTCCTGGTCATTTAAGGCATTCTTCTTTTCCGTGCCCAAGTTCGGATATTTTTCTAGACCTTGCCAGGAGAGGACAAGGGAAAAGTTGACAGTTTTTCCTATTCTCTAACTATGAGAAAATATTTTACTGTCTCCTTAGTCTTATGCATTTCTTCTTTCTTTCTCTTCCTGCTCCCTCCTCAGGCAGGAAACTGTCCTAATTTAAACCAGCTGCTTTGGGCAGGAAGGTTTTTTTATTTTTCTGACAACGAAAACCTCTGTGACTGCCCCACAAGACAAAAAGCCTCAGAACCAAAGTTTGCTAAAAGAATGTAAGACAGTAAAGCAATGTTCTATGACCAAATACACAGCTTTTCCGTAGTTTGCTCTAGCTTCACTCCTTGCAGTGGCTTAATTACGTGTCCTCCATTTTAAGAACAAGTTACAGTCTGTAGCAAGTCATACAGCTTTCATAAGTTTTGAATTTATAATCCACTTTTATGTAATCTTTGCAAACTGGCAAATATACAGCAGGGCATTTAATGTGTGGAGTGTTACGGGCTTTGGGCTGTCTCAGAGTAGCAAGTTCTGAGCTGCCACCTCCCTGTACCACTCCACTTCCCACTATGTTAACCCTTTTGGTACCTTTGGCCAAAACAAAAAACCCCAGAGGCTACTCTAAGTGAAGCATGGGTAAAGGCTTCCTATATTTTTGCTTTTACTAACAACCATGTATACATACAAGTCATAGAAGTAATCCTAAACATTTCCAGGCAGATTTTATTTGGCCAGGAAATGACCTAAGAAGGGCATCATTGTTTTCATGCACAGAGCCTACAAAGTTCATTTTGATCCCCAAGTCACTACATCCCTAACACCCCTAAAACGTAGAACTGGAAGGAAAGAAAAACCAAGAACTAGGAAGTTGAAAATGTTACCTGCTGATGGGAATCTGTTCTCTGGGCTCGTTTCTGCAGGGAAGTGTCGATAATGTGGGCGGATGCCTAGGATTGCTGGATTTATTCCATCAGAATTGCGGAAGTCAGCTCCAGCTGTTGGCTGGAAAATTTGGACAGGGGAGGGAGGCGGAGATAGAAATGCTGAGAAGGGGGATTAGGGAGGAGGGAAAGAGACATCGAATCTGCAGTGTTTCTGTATGCAAGTGGAGTGAGCCAGGGTGGAGAGCTGCTTTTACATCGAGGACAGACAAAAATAGACCTCAATACACAGTACCCAAGTCAGGGCTTATCTTCTCTCGGTATCTTTCCCATCGTTATTATACTGGAGGATTATATTTTCCTATTACCCATCTCTCCAACTTTAAACCTTGTTTTTGAATTTGTGTCTGAGATGAATAAAAACAAAAGGCTAGAAGAATATAGAAGACAAGCCATAGGCTTCAAAATCATTTGTATTTTATAAGCTTGTTGGCTGTTGTCACTGCTTCTATGCATAGGAATAGCTCTCTCAGCCTAATACAGTTGTGCTGAGGAAGGATATGCCCAGAAAGTCCAGATGAAACCAGTTCTAAAAGTAACAAAAATCAGTATTCTTAGGAATTTATGACAGCACATGAATCAATGCCATGGCACTGACAAACTCACATGTGACTTATTTGTTGCTGAACTCCGATGGTGGGATGCCTGATGAACATTATCTGTCTCAATTACTAAAATCCCCAACCGAGGTCCAGTCATATGAGCTTCTCCACATACTTCCCCCGATATCCAGGCATGTGACAGATCATGAGCCACACTCCCAAACTCCATATTCTTCCATAAACGGATGTGGGGGAAGAGGAAAAGGGTCCTTGGAACAGAAATGGTAATACGTGGGATCTAGATTCAGTGTCTGGTGGATTACATAATAGACTCTCAAGAACACAGGCTTATGCCTATGCATTGTAAGATTTGCTAATGAACCTAGAGGGAAACCAGGTCCAAACCTGAATAATTTAAATTTCCCTACCCCTAATTCCTTTCCATCCGGAAGAGGGGGACGTGCTGGGGGGAAGAAATCCAGATGTGTCCAACTCGTCTCCAGTCCCAATTCTCCCCTCTCACAAGGACGTTGGCATTCCCCAACCCCATCCCACCCCACGGTCAGATGTCCCTAACTTCACTCAGAATGAGTCAGGATCAGGAGGACAGCCGAGGAATGCTGAGTGATCAGAGCCCTATGATTTCCCATTTCTGAAATTATAGACACATTGTGCTTTATGTTTGTATATTTGGCGCTAAAGCTATGGATTCAACTAGTTGTGGTGAGTCTGTTGTTTATGAGCTGCAAAGGAATAATAAAGCCGCAATCAAGATGACACAACACAAAGTTTACAAAAGGAAAAATATTGTTTTTAAAATACTTGCTACATGTCATTGTTTTTGCCACTGTAAGGCTCAGCACAGATGCCAGCAGTACAGAAATGGCCAACAAGAAAAAAAAACAATCAAAAATAAAACCCTGAAGGAAAAGCAGAAACAAAACCCCCAGAGCATCTTCTCCCTCCCTTCCCCGCCCCTCCCCCAAAGCCCTATAATAACTATACAATATTATAGTCTTGATCACATTTAGAAACAGGCGATTATTAAAAAACAAGGACTTTATTGGAAACTCAACATTTTGGTTTCTTAAATTGTGATATAAATATATATGTATACTGTATGTGTGCACATAGAATAAAAAAATAAACTGTCCCCTTTCCACTCCAATACCTGGCACCAGACTGGAGACAAAAGGGAGGGAAACCCCGTAATGACATTCTCTGAGCCTCTCCAAGGCCATCTGTGCTCCTCAGTCCCCTATGGCTACATTTAAAATGTCTTCTTATTAATTCAGTCTTGCACTTACAATACTGGCCTGAGCCAATTAAAAAAAAAAAGGCTGATACACATGACTGTTACCTGAGGAAGGTAAAGAGTGATAGTAGTAACCTGTATCCACATTTATATGGCTATAATTAATTAATAAGTGACCCTGTTGGGATGGGAGTCCAGGCCCCATTCTATCACATGGATTCATTACACTTGCACTACAAAGCAAAATCCAATCTCAAGACTGAGAGGGAGCAAAGAAGAAAGAGTTATAGGTCAGAAAAGACCTAAATCTCAGTTTCTTGCCAGACTGGATACTTTGAGAATGGGATGAGAGGCTATTTTGCAAGAAGGCTGGTATTTGGTTCAAACTGCACCAGTGAGGGTTTTCACTGGGACTACTAACCCAAGAAGTTGAGTTTCCATGCAGAAATAACCTCCACGGAACACACATATGTAATTCTGACAAAAATGCAGCATTATCCTTATGGCCAAGTATGGGGTTTCTGAAAGTGTTTATCCTGCCAGCCAATTTCTGTAATGTTTGCAGATCTTCCATATAAGGTGAGAGCACCAAAAGCAGGAACGACCCAGTTTTATCACTAAATATGTCTGATGACAGACAAACCATATCAACAGAAAATGTTATATTATCTGCTTAGAGTTGCATATTGGCTGGGCACAGATGTAAGTACAGCAAAGACATTTATTTAAATACTCTTTGGCTGCAATACTAAGTAGAAAATACCTGGAAGATTTAACTCCTTAGGATTCTTTGAAAAACACAGAGAAAGACATAGATAAAATCTGGGACAAATTTTGCATAACTCCCTAATAGGGAGAAAGAAATACACAAAGAAATACATGTACACACACACACACACACACACACACACACACACACACACACTTCTCTCTCATTTCCTCACTCACATTTCTTTCCAGAGGAACTGCTCACAGGCAGCAGAAAGAACATATTCTCACTTCCTAAAGCCCCATATATACCTACCATGTTTCATGGTCCTCAAATATGAGGACATTTCTCCTCTCCCCCGCCTTATTCAGAATTTCTTTCCAAAAACAAGCCACAGTACAAGGCAAATAGTGGACATCAGGTTCTCTAATCTGTCCCTTGACCCTAGCAGAAATCACCTCTGTACAAATTTCTGGTCAGGAGACATAAGGCAAGGCATTTTTAACTTCACCCAGCCTTAATTTTTCAAACGGTCCACAAAACCTTGAGGATTTACTCCATCTCATCTATAAATTATGTCAGAGAGGCAGGAGGGCAAGGGAAAGGCCAGAAGTGAAAGGGGGTACACATTAGGGGTGAGGGAAGGGAGGGGAGAGGAACTTTTATTCTGTTTACAGAAAGATTTGTTTTTTAAAAACAAATGGTATTTTTCTCTCCCCCACCCCTTTATCCTCACCCCAATAGTTCTATTCTGAAAAGGAGGGAAACATAGTTAGATCAGGAAATTCTTCATTGTTGTAGCTGTTGCCCTGGTCTCCCAACATGGACAGCATCTCCTAATAAGAGAAAAATAAGTTGGGTCACACACCTTGATCCCTTACATTTATCAAGCTCCCTTCCCAACATTCCCCTGAACCACCATTCCTGTCCCCAAAGAGTTTCTGCTGTGCTGAGTTCTCTTAGCTTTCCTTAGTCTCAGCAACTCTGACTCCTTTAGATGACGAACTTTTGTCCTAGTCCCTTCTGTCTTCCCCCTATAGTTCCACACACATTTCCCTCTTTTCCAGTACTCAGTATTTTCAAAAGTGGAAAAATCTGCTTGTCACATTTCATATACTGCCCCCCATAAATTTATTATGGAGTATCTCTTATCCTCTGTGTTTTCTACCAAAACCTGTTTTGCTTTCTTTCAACCTGTGTTTTAAACTAGCTCTTCCTTTGTTCTGCCTAAGATTACTCCACTCAGTCTTGCAGTCCGCTCAGGATTAGGTAAACAGACCTTTATAACTATAATCAAGGCAAATAGTACTCAAGCTTTTGTGAATGGTTTTCCTTGAATGGGCTAATTACTTTCTTTTTTTAAAAAAATATATTTTATTGCTTTTTCACAGAGAGGAAGGGAGAGGGATAGAGAGTTGGAAACATCGATGAGAAACATTGATCAGCTGCCTCCTGCACACCTCCCACTGGGGGTGTGCCCGCAACCAAGGTACATGCCCTTAGTCGGATCGAACCTGGGACCCTTCAGTCCGCAGGCTGACGCTCTATCCACTGAGCCAAACCAGTTAGGGCTATAATTACTTTCTTTGACATCTTTGCATGGTGCTGCACATCACTAACTATGATCTGGTTAAAGGTTGTGCATCAAAATAAATTCATAATCTTTCCTATTAATGACAATTTTCCCTACATGTCCCCACTGTCTTCTCCCACTCACACCCTAATACATGCATGCTTCCTTCTCTGTCTCTCCTCTGTGACCCTTTCTCTCCAAATTTCTGATTTTCTAAAGCCTTTTCATCCTCTCACCTGGAAGACTTCAGGCTGGCCAGGTTGCGGTGCTGATGGCTGTTGAACATGTTGCTCATTAGAACTTGAACGATGATGAGGCTGCTGGCCCTGCCACTGTGGCCAGACTCCCACACCCTCTGCTGTCCGTGTCTGGAATTGTCCTGCAGTCTGTCCAGTCTCTGGAGCTAGCGAGGAAGAATAAACTTCAATCTACTAATTCCATTGGAGAGGAAAATCTAGCAAATAACTACATGCAAGTCATTAATTTTACCTAAAAACCTCCTGCCCTTCTTTCTGCCAATCAATGCCTCTTCTATTTCAAAACCCAACCCAAATTATTTTTCTTCTCTAGGAAGCTGTTCCAAAGAGTCCTTTGCTCACTTTAGAATAAATTTGCATATTAAATTAATATTTTACATGCTTTTTGTTATAGGTCTTTTTCATGTGGGTAGCGTTTATTTACTAGAGGTCCGGTGCATGAAATTTGTGCACTGGGGGGGGGGGGTGTCCCCTCAGACAGGCCTGCGTCCTCTCGCAGTCCGGGAGCCCTTGGGGGATGTCCGACTGACGGCAGCCAGCCGTGAACCCAGCTTCACTGACTAGCAGGGGGCAGCTCCTGAGTTCAGCGTCTGCTCCCTGGTGGTCAGTGCGCCTCATATCGACTGGTTGTTCCGCCATTCGGTCAATTTGCATATTAGCCTTTTATTATATAGAATTTATTTTTATTGATTTCAGAGATGAATGGATAGGGAGAGAGAGAGATAGAAATATCAATAATGAGAGAGAATCATTGATAGGCTGCCTCCTGCTATTGGGTATTGAGCCGACAGCCCG